GCTTGAGGAGATCATCTATTGGTGTTTGGGCATCTAACTATTCTCCCTCTAGCTCTTGATCTAGTGAGAAGTTTTCTAAACTCTATTTCTAGCTTTACATCTATTTATTTGATTATCATTTTATTAAGGCTAATGTTCATATTGAGTTTAGTTGATTTGATTTCACTCATTATTTACACACACCCACTTGAGCTTATTGTATTTGCATACATTGTATATTTGGGTTGGTAAGAGTTGTAACAATTGAGTGTGAGCTTTCATTGTGTTCTCATCCATATTAGAGAATAATCATTTATTGTAATTATGCTTATTGTGAGATTCACTTTGTAATACACTTGTACAAGATTATTGTATTTGCATACATTGTATATTTGGGTTGGTAAGAGTTGTAACAATTGAGTGTGAGCTTTCATTGTGTTCTCATCCATATTAGAGAATAATCATTTATTGTAATTATGCTTATTGTGAGATTCACTTTGTAATACACTTGTACACCGAGAGAAGTGCGTGGCGAGAGTCGGGGATCATCCCAAGAGGAGTGGCGTCGGTTGACGAACCTAGGGAGAGGTTGTATCCGAGCACTTGAGGGAGACACGTCTAGTTCAACACTTGAGAGGGTGGTATTTATAATATCTCATTGCTAGGATATATTCATTTGTTCATATTGCTTATTCTTGCTTGTAACATATTGTATATCTATCTTGCAAGAATAATTTATTAATTAGTTTTAATTGGCATAAAATTAGATTAGATTAGCATAAGATCCTAATCACCCCCCTCTAGGGTCTAACAACGCTTTGGATGTGAAGTTAACCTATACAACAAACTCGTAACCTTAACAATTAAACACGTAATCTTAACAATTAAACCTGTAACCTTAACAATCTCCCAATACAAATAAAAATAATTAGTTTCCTCATCAATAACGAAAATAATAAAATAACAATCCCCATTAATTATTTCAACTATCATCACAGCAACATCATGATAGAGAGAGAGAGAGAGAGAGAGAGAGAGAGGATCTATAACCTTAACAATTGACTCGTTGTAGGCATATAAAATTGCTTATAGGTCCCCTAGCATAGCTCGGCACGAACCGACAAACCAACGAGGCGACGAGATCGACGAATCGCATCAAGCGACGGAATGCATCCATACACGTGCGGGATCAAGCCAAGGGTTCGAAGAGTCAACGAGTCATCCAACCAAAGGCATACTCGGACGAATGACGATCGAATCAAGATCGGTTTCGGACTCCAACTCAGAAGCGGATTTACTGCCTAATCGGGATCCGGATTTACTGCCAAATAAGGTCAACGAATCAAGTCTGGATAAATCAACCACAGAACCAAATCACAGATAGAACCAAGGCGGAAAACACCAAACCCACCACCTAGAGGGGCTCGGCCGAAGCCGAGCCAACTTCAGGTGGCTCGGCCCAAGCCGAGCCACCTCAGGGTGGCTCGGCCCAGAGCCGAGCCACCCTGAGGTGGCCGGCCCAGATCTGTGCCTAGGCACAGATCTGAGTGCCTATAAATAGGCTAGGCCTTGGTTCATTTTTGAGGTTGGAAATTTTGGAGAGGCGAAGCCCTGCTGGATTGGAGACTCAGAACTTAACAAGATTCAAGCTTTGGGACTTCAAGGATTTGCACATCCAGATCTGGTGCTCGACGATCATCAACGCCAAATAAGGCAGGAGTTCGAGAGGACCGGATCTCAGATCTACGCATACGTACTCCGGATCTAAGCTTGGTCTTAGATCCCGAGACTTGGACGATTGTTTCCTTGGTGAAACAATCCTCCCCGGCTATTATTTCCTTGGTGAAATAATACCCGTTGTACTGCGTAGATCCGACCGGATCTAGATCGCGCGGTGGTCCACGGCAAACAACCCCGGCGCAGGCAAAGAACCCACAAAGCGAGCGACCGCAAAACAGGAGCTCGTGATTCGTTCGACAAACAAGGAAACAAAGTTGTATTTTTCATTTCTTTTCAATTTGATTTAGTTGTAACCGGATCTTATAAAAAGACCGGATCTTTGTAATCGTAAACTATTACAAGAGTGTACAATGGAATCATTAATGAAGAAAGCAACGAATTTCCACGCGAACATCAACGCCGGTCAACGCGTAACCCTAGGTCAACGCCAGTCAACGCGTTGCAACCAAAGTCAACGTTTGACGATTCGAAACCCTAAGGATCAACGCCGGTCAACGCGTAACCCTAGGTCAACGCCAGTCAACGCGTTGCAACACAAGTCAACGTTTGACGATTCAAAACCCTAAGGGTCAACGCCGGTCAACGCGTAACCCTAGTTCAACGCCAGTCAACGCGTTACAACCAAAGTCAACGTTTGACGATTCGAAACCCTAAGGGTCAACGTCGGTCGACGTGTAACCCTAGGTCAACGCCAGTCAACGCGTTGCAACGCAAGTCAACGTTTGACGATTCAAAACCCTAGGGTCAACGCCGGTCAACGCGTAACCCTAGGTCAACGCCAGTCAACGCGTTGCAACAAAAAGTCAACACACGATGATCCGAAACCCTAAGTCAACACAATGTGACGGAGGTAGTTCAAAGTCAACTCAATGACACGAGCCAAACTCAATTCATCAGCTGCAGACTCGAGACTCCGACGACGGACAAGCGATAAACGCAGCGCCGGAAGAACTTCGGCTATTCGTCAAAGCATCGAATAGACCGAAAATCGAAGGAGCCAAAAGTTGAAGCTAACTACAGGTCCTTACGCCGACTGAAGGCTAGACCAATCACATCCAAAGTATTCCAGCCTCTTCTATAAAAGAAACGAGTCCGGAACGCTTTGGAGGGGGTATCTGTAGGCATCGAAAATTGCCTATAGGTCTCCACGAACGGTTCAATGTTAAAGAACGATAATGAACGTCACTATCTGATCCACAGGAGTTCAATTGACATCGATGAATGATTGAAGTGAATCGACGAACTACATGAGCTGATAGGATTTCGGAACAACGAAGACCCGGGCCAACCAGGAACCCGGCGATGTTCACAAAAAGGACAACGCCCTTCGAGCCTCGTTCATTCTACAGATAATCCAACCATTGGAGCAGATAGAACTCTTCGTCAAGCTTCCAACGCACTTGGAATCACTCAAATCCGAGTTCGGACGAAGAATTTACGGCGAAAACAATCAAACATACGCAACGGATCGTCTCAGGAATTCCAAAACACCCCTAGGGGTGTCTCGGAAATTCCGAGACACCCCTGGGGTGTCTCGGAAAATCCGAGACACCCCTAGGGTGTCCTGGAAAATCCGAGACACCCCTGGGGTGTCTCACAAAATCCGAGACACCCCTGGGGTGTCCTGGAAAATCCGAGACACCCCTGGGGTGTCTTGTATTCTTTTACCCTATAAATATTATTAACGTCAAAGATTAAAGTTTCTAAATTAAAATCAATTAATGCTAAGGTATAATATTATAGTGTTTTATCATTTCTATGGATTTAAACATCTATCAATTAATGTTACGAATGTATTTTGGCTACCCCAACTTATTACTAAAATTATATGAAATTACTTTAATTTATATAGTGCCGATAATTTTTAATTTATAATATTTTTAAAAATTTTATCCATTAACCGGATGTTTTTAATCAATTCTTATTGTTTTTGTTTACCAGTATCAACTTAGACTATTCTTAGATGCTGAAAATGGATAGTAAATCCCTAAATTAGAAATTTTAATATATATATATATATGAAAAATACCAAACAATTATACTTTTCTTTGCCAAGTTTTAAAATTTTAGCCCATTTTTGTGGTTTTGAACTTTGAGGGTGTGATTTATAATTTTTAAAATTTTAAAAGAGTTTTTTAAAAAAATTACTTTTAAGTTTGGTAGTTGTAAATTCTATGTTTCATGTGTTGGTGGTAATTTTTTAAATGTTAGTATATTTCTTGTAACTCTAAAATTTTGAGGGTTTCTTTTGCAATTATTAAAACTATAGATTAATTTTAAAAAATATTAAATTTCAGCGGTCTACCAATCGACGAATTTGATGTGTGCTTGTTAAAAATTTTGAAAATTTAGAGTTTTTTTTACTATTTTTAAAATTTGAAGGAGTTTATAAAAAATTTTGAGGTTAATTTTGGCAATTTTTAATTTTTTAGGTGTCTAAGGGTAATATCTTGAACTCATCTTATTTTATTTACAAATTTTAGAATTTTAGGGTGGCTTTTTCTAATTTGAACTTTTGAAGGTGTTTCTATAATTTTTGAGATATTGAGGGTGTTAATTAAAAAAATTTAAATTTAAATGTCAAACTTTTTAGGTGTATCATGGTAATCTCTTGAATTCATTTGTGTTGTTTGTAAGTTTTAAAATTTTAGAATTTTAATGTGCTTGTCTGTAATTTAAACTTTTGAGGGTGTTTCTATAAATTTTGAGACATTGAGGTGTTAATTGTAAATTTTAAATTCTTTGCAAACTGATGTTAATTTTTTAATTTCATGTTTTTTATTTTAAGTTTTGAGACATTTTGGATGAGTTTTATAATTTTGAACTTTTTAGGGTCTTTTTTGCAATTTTAAAATTTTTTATGGTTTTTTTGCAATACTTCATGTATTATAATATGTTATCTACTTGTAATTTCTTTATCTTAACAAACTAATATTATTTTTATGTTTTATGTATTTTATTAATATTAGTTTTTTTAAATTGTTAAGCTAAATATGGTTCACATAGGATTAGGATAAGATATGATTATGATTATGATAGATTAAGATATAAATAAAATATTCAAAATAGTGAAGGGTAATATTGACCATTGAAAATTAGAATTTGATTATAGATAAGGTAGTTCAAACTATAAATGGGTATATTTGTCTAAAAAAGATTTTCTGAACTCGTGCTTTTAAAGGGAGTATGATATGATATGATATGATATGATATATTGGTGTAACAATTTAAAAGTAACAATTTAAAAGAATTATAGCAATTAAAAAAGGGGATTATAGAAGCGATAGAAAAAAGGGAAGGCCGGCGCACGCTACTATATATATATATCCGGAGATCCTCTAATTCGAAGAAACCCTAACCCACCTAGAAATTCCCAATTCCAAAAAAGTAATCGTTCCTCCGATCTCTCCTGTTGATCATCGATATTTACTACTAGATCATATCAGATCTCTGATATAGTTCTTTTTCGTATGGTTATTTTATCTCTGATGCTGTTCTTTTTCGCTTTTTGGTTTTTTGCTAGAGATTTAGAGGAAAATGGGGAGCTCAGATTTCTCATGGAAGCTTGCCGATCATCCTAAGCTTCCAAAGGGGAAGACGGTGGCCGTTGTTGTTTTGGATGGATGGGGCGAGGCTAATCCTGATAAGTATAACTGTGTTCATGTTGCCGAGACGCCAACTATGGATTCGCTCAAAAATGTATCCTTGATTTAGATTAAGCTCATCATTTTGATGTTTCGATCCTTTATTTTCTGTAACAATCTGTCTTCTCATTTTCTTTATAAGATTGATAGTCTAACTAGATTTGTTACTGTAACTAGATTTGTTATATATAAACTGAATCCTTAGTTATAAGTGTAATACTACCTTGTCTTTAAGTTATTAGAATGAATTATGAAATTATATTTACATGGGTCTTGATTCTGTGGAACGCTTTTGACTATCTTATCTTTACTATTTATTCTATTTGACTAATATAATATTTTCGTACTAATTGTTATTTCTTTTTTTAAATTAAAATGACCATATGGATATGCAACCTACACATCAGTTACAGGCTTAAACCAACTTCACGAACTTGGTGAGAATTTCTAGGTTTTTTTGTAGTGAACAAGAGAAACTTGACACCTTGCGTTACTTTGTTCCCCTTTGAGATAAGCTAGATCAGTTTAATCTCCATGTTGGTTCTTTGTCTCTTTGGCTGAAATTGAATTGAGCTACTCACATGAAAATGTGGATTTGTCACTGTTATGTTTGTGTTGATTGCTTTATTTCACTTAATGATTTATTTGTGCATGCATATCCAATGTTAATAGATCTCTTTATTTTCTCTCTAAAGGGAGCTCCTGAAAAATGGAGATTGGTAAAAGCTCATGGCACAGCAGTAGGACTTCCTACCGAGGATGACATGGGGAATAGTGAAGTAGGTCACAATGCATTGGGTGCTGGCCGGATATACGCTCAAGGGTAATTTACCTAACAATATGTTAATTGCTTGAATAATTCATGTTTTATGCATTGTTTTAGATATCCCTGACATTGCTCGATATATCGCCCGATATATCCTTTTACAAGGCTTGCCGCAACCGATATGGGCTCTAAATATCTGTTACCACTTTTTAGCTATTTTGGGTTATATACCCCCCGATATGGCCGATATATCAGCCGATATATATCCTTTTATATGACTTGTTGCAAAACAAAATACCATGTTTGGCAATTTTTGGTTGTGATATCATGAGTATCCCATTATATCAAATGTCATTTTATCTTAAAAAATCAAACGAAACGTTGATTTGTATTTTTGTTTGTTTTATAAGGTTGATTAGTGATCCTAACCTATGAAGCACGGACACGCATAACATGAAGCCGTGTCGTGTCGTGTCCGTGTCGGACACACGTGTCGAACACACGTATCCTATGTATTTTTTAGGATTTGCCTCGTGTCGGCTTGTCGGATGGCCGTGTCGGATCCGTGTCCGTGCTACATAGATCCTAACCATATATTATTTATATTTTGTATGCTTAGATTTTATTAAATATACTGAGATTACATTTTAGTGCATGATAGTATATATGCAAACATTCGTTATGACATTCCGATCTTTATCACATATCCTCGATATTTCGCTGATATCCGCAATCTGACATGAATTTTGGCCGTCCAATATATTTCCGATATCCGATGTTTAAAACCTTGGTTTTATGTTGCTTTATCTAGAAAGCATAGATATGATGGACCTATTTCTCGCTAATAAACGTAGAGTATTTTATTCTCTTTGGGTTCCAACCTAGATCAATGGCGACCGTAGGACACATCACCTATCCCATGATTGGTCCCATGAACGTGGGTCCAAAATTAATTTCTCATAAGTATATTACATTAGTCCCTATATGTGGGTAATTTCAGGAGTTCTGTTTGGGCTTTTATGAACTTTGTCATATGTCACTATGTAAATATGTCTAATACCTTTCTCCAAATTTCAAACATTTGTCATATTTCTCTCTATGATTTAATAATGTTTTAAATAAACTATGGTTGCGTTTGGGATCTTGGATTTAGGCCTAGATTTGAAATCCAAGATAGAACAATTCCAAATCTCTTGTTTGGGTTCTCATTTTAGGCTTGAATTTAAATCATATGAGTTGTATAGTTGGATTTAAAGCCTAAAATCGTGGATTTGAAATTTTACCCTAACCCCTATAATTTGTAAAATCCTGATCCCCTTCCTACGATCGATCTGTATCTCGTCGAAACACGCTCTCTCCCTCCCAACTCTAGCTTCGACTGATTGGCCAACCCCAGCCATGCCTCACCTCGCCTTGAACTCCTCCCCCTCCTCCTAACCCTAGCTCCGAGGGGTTGCCGTCCTCAGCCAGCGCCTCGCTTTCTCATCGCCAGAGATCTATTTTCGATGCCTCCCTCATCTCTGGCCAATCGCCGCCCTAGCCAACAACAATCTCTTGATCACAATCTCAACCTAATTGCTTCAACTTTGACAAGAAGTCTGCACTAGGGGGTTGCACCCTAGATCTTCTATCAATCCTCGAGAACCTTAGAATAGAGAGCTAGGTGGTTGCCAATGTGCATTGATTATGTTGATTTGGAATTTTGAAGAAGTGTTGGTTTTTAATATGGAGTATTATATTTTTGCCAAGATTGGAAGTTTTTAGTGGTTTAATTTTGAAAGGTGCAATTTTGGTTGAATTGATTATGCACATTATTGTTCAATGAAAAGATTCAATGGAAAATTATAGTTTTACACCTGTGTGGGTTGAGTTTGTGCTTAAATTTAGCATGATATATATATCTTGTTTGATTATTTAGTGGGTTAGAATTTTATCGATGTAGAATCATCTTTTCTCTTGACATTTTTCAGTTATTATACCATATTAATCTTTATGAAACCTTTTTGACTTTGTTCGTGTTTGTAATTGAAAAACCAAGGTGCTCTCAATGTTTTTGTATCTATTGAAAACAAAGCAGTTTGTTTTTGTATGTGCTCCCAGATAATATTCTTTTTCGTTGTGCTTATTTTGATTACAAACTAACAGATTTGAAATGTAAGACTTAAAATCCTTTCATTTAACAAAGTATCCAAACATGTGATTTGTGAAAACCATGAATTTCAAATCTTAGGTTTGGAATCTATTGATTTGAATGATACATGAGAAATCCAGATTTCATTTCCCAAAAGCACACTAAATGTCAGGGAAAATGGAGCTTATTGCTATTGTCCAAAATCCTAAAAGAATTGATGCTCTAAAGGGTTTTCCATCTTCCTCATGGAAAATAGTTCACTATTGTGGTCAGCTTATTTCCACTCTTATCTCTTTGCACATATTTGGGAATTATTTATATTGCCTTTAACCAGAGATATATTTGATTTCCTTGTTGTTTATGTACATATCTTTAATAATTACTTAGATTGGTGTTTTTACTAGTTTTCTATTAACTTTATGATGATACAATAGTGATGTTAGTATCTTGTAAATCTTGAATGATTATAAAAAAACATAGTCATAATGGTATCTTTTTTTCCAATATATTTCCTAACATAGTCATAATGGTATTTTTTTTTCCAATATATTTCCTAACTTATGATCTTGCAATTTCTATTATATATGTGAGCCTTTTTATGTAGATGATATTTAGCTATACATAATTAGCAAACTAATATCTGCTTTTTTAGCATCAAACAAGCAAAATTGACCTGTGCAATGTTGCACAATTCGTGTGATAAAAGCCGAAAAAATAAGGGTAAATACTTTGTTTAAAAATACTCATTCTACTTCACCACAGAGAACACAAATATAGGACATTATAACAAAATATGGTAACTTTCACAGTGTACCAAACTGCTAACATAGGAAGTGGATTTAAAAGTAATTCATTAGAGTATTTTTGGTGTAAAACATTATCTTGGACATGGGTGGATTAAAAAATAAATGAGGTTAAAACTTTGGGTATGGGAAAAACATTCTTATGGAATTCGGTGCGCTTAAAGTAAATTGGGTAGTTTTTTGAAACCAATGTTGTGGTTGAGTCGGTTTAAAAATAAGTGGGAATTTTTAGGTCTATAGGTGAAAATTCCCTACATACTCAAATTATTGGGTCTACTGTTTATGCCCCCCCGGCTACCTTTTGGAATTTGATTAAAAATATATGGGCAAAACTTTGGATTTAAAGGCAAAAAATATTACTTTGGAAGTGGGTGGGTTTAAAAATATTGTGGATAGAACTTTGTTCATTGGTTATATGTTTCCTGTTCTTTGTTTTTTTACTTCCATGGATCTAACTCATTCATTCCTAGTCTTTTTACTTAATTAACAAAGTGAAAAATTATGGTTTATTTAATTATGGAAGATGTTATACTTTAACAAATATTCCCCTTTGCTTTTTTAAGCTAATGTAGCTACTTATGGAATATTATAGTTGCTTACAGAAAGGAGGTCCTTATATGTTACAACCATCTTCCTAATAATATATGCTCTAACTTAATTAAAGTATAATTAGTATATTCTTTTTTTCTTGTGCTACAATGTTACAGTAAGCTAGGTGCCAAGCCGGCGCCTAGAGCCTAGGCACCCAATCGGCTGCTTACGCAGGGCCTAGGCCAATTTCTGTTTTTTTAAATGGAAGTGGGGGAGATATTGTTGAAGGTTCGGGGAGGTGGAGGTGATTGGAGTTAGCAGGAGGCCTGGGTGGTAGTTGGAGGCGGCAACAAAGGAAGTCAGACCATGACCTAAGCTTTGCAGTCCGCATGACAACCCATGCTTTCCTAGGCGCTCTTAAGACTAGACAGCCAGCCTAAGCACCGCCTAGACCTAGGCGGGAGCCTAGACCGCTTTTTAAAACTCTTCATTTGATTTTGTGAAATCAACAGTAAGACACCAAATGAGCTCATGACATAATGCCATATGTTTTATTCCTAATTTTCTGTACATTATGTTTATGCCAATGTTGTCTTCATGTCATCACTTGGTCAGTTACTAGAGCGTTGTTTCGTTGATTTACTATTAGTTCGTGTACGACTAGAGTAAATAGGCTACCACACTTGATGGTTATAAATAAGTACACTTCTGAAAAGGAACAATATACAGTAGTGTTCTATAAATAGGTACACTTTTGAAAAGGAACAATATACAGTAGCATTATATGAAAGAACAGCGACTGAAGACTATCCTGTTGACAAGATTATGGAGCTTTAAATGACCAGGCTTTCTTGTGATATAGATCGATTGAGTATTTGTCATTATGATTGCCAAGATATTAATCCACTTTGTTATATCATCTGTTATTGCCCCACACTGAACTAAGTGCTCTTTACATTACAGAGCTAAGCTAGTTGATCTGGCTCTTGCCTCCGGGAAGATATATGATGGAGAAGGCTTTAAGTACATTAAGGAATGCTTTGATCATGGTACTCTACATCTTATAGGTTTACTGAGTGATGGAGGTGTGCACTCTCGACTTGATCAGTTACAGGTACTTGCATGATATTTTCTGTTGTCTTTATTACAGTCCTTAATGTTCTATATTAATGACCCACTTCTTACTCACAGTTGTTGCTGAAAGGTGCTGCTGAGCGAGGTGCCAAAAGGATCCGAGTGCATATCCTTACTGATGGTCGTGATGTTTTGGATGGTTCAAGTGTAGGCTTCGTGGAAACACTTGAAAATGATCTCCTGCAGTTGCGAGAGAAAGGTGTCGATGCGCAAATTGCCTCTGGTGGTGGACGGATGTATGTCACCATGGATCGCTATGAGGTATTGATGTTATTCCCCTGTACAAAATCGTCTGTATGTGGTCTTTTATGATTCTGTTAAATGCATTTAGATTTTTTTCAGAATGATACTTTGTCATGATTTATCGAAACATATTAAACATTTCAAGAAATAAAGTTAATATTCTCTTTAAGCTCAGTGTTTAAAAGAACTTGAAACACCTTTACTGTAATCTGGGAAGTACTTTTTTCTTCCTATATGAGAAAGCTTTTCCTATACGAGACAACTTTTCTTCATCTTTTATCGTGGGTCATGTCTTTTTGGGACTGCCTTTAGTTCTTTCTATATTATCTTTGACTTTAAAGTGTTTGCCAGGTAAATCTCCATAGTTTATACTACAAATGTATCAAATGAGCTAGTATGTATTTTTTGTAAATGGATACTGCTGCTCAGAGAAATCTGGGTAACTTCTTATTTAATGACTAGTAGCTTTCTTATTGCTGTATTTGATAATTGCAGAATGACTGGAGTGTTGTTAAGCGTGGTTGGGATGCCCAGGTTTTAGGTGAAGCACCTTACAAGTTCCATACTGCTGTAGAAGCTGTGAAAGAGCTGCGGAAGGAACCCAAGGCTAGTGATCAATACTTGCCCCCTTTCGTTATAGTTGATGAAAGTGGCAAATCAGTTGGACCTATAGTGGATGGTGATGCAGTGGTAACATTTAACTTCAGGGCAGATCGCATGGTTATGCTTTCTAAAGCGCTTGAATATGCAGATTTTGATAAGTTCGACAGAGTTTGTGTTCCAAAGATTAAATATGCTGGAATGCTTCAGTATGATGGTGAATTAAAGCTTCCAAGTCGCTATCTTGTTACTCCTCCAGAGATAGAGAGGACGTCGGGTGAATACTTGGTGAAAAATGGTGTCCGGACTTTTGCTTGCAGGTATAATAATACATGCAACACGAATTTACTTCCTGATGGATTTTGGTTGTTATTTTTGTTTTTTCTTTACAAATATTATTTTATTCTCAACTGCATAACTGTCATGTTTCTAATTTCTTTTCTTAGTATATGAGCTTGTGATGCTTTATGATTGGCGTGCCACTTAAGAGTTGAAGAATTCTATTTCATCATAATTTGTCTTACATATTAGTTGCGAAATATCATCATCATGAAATATGTAGCCAATCCATATAGATGCTTAATTCCACTTTGTTATAGGTGATTGGTAAATGGCCTTGTTTAATGTCTCAAGTAGGCAGTTAGGAACTGTAATTGATTAATGCTCTTAGATTTATTCTGTCTTTCGATATGATGTGCAATTTGGAGTTCTTTTTTTTATACATATTTTGACAATCTTTATGGTGATGTTTGCTTTTAAGACCTTCAGTTCTTGGTTATTAGTATGCAATATTTATATAAGTTAGATATTTATGGTGATGTTTGTTTTTTATATATTTTTCCTTTCTGTGGTATAATCGATTGTACAAGTTTGATATTTTAAGCCTACTTTTGAACCTAATTGCTAACTGACTGCCGCTGGCTTTAGAATCTTAAAGTAACCAAGCATGTATAATACTTTAATTGCCTGCTGTGTTGTCTAGCGAGGAAAAATGTTCTTGTGTTGCTGGTGTAGAAATCATAGTATGTGACTTTGAAACTAGTATTCTGTTACTCAATTGGCGTGTCAAGGATTAATAGGTGATCTGGAATTTTGCTATGTATTATTTGAGAGTACTGCTGACTGCATTTCAGTGGACGAATTTTCAAAACCAACCTATTTCCACATTTAATCCCCAAAAAGACCTGTTTTGAACTTATTTTCAAAAACCGACCTGGTTTCAGCCCTGATGTTAAAACCAGGTCGGTTTTTGAAATTTTTTTTTCCGAAACTTCACGGGAGTTCAACTCCCGTTCAACTCCCGTGAAGTTTTAGAAGCTTTTTCAAAAAAACCGACCTGGTTTCGGCGCCAAGGTTGAAACCAGGTCGGTTTTTGCAAATAAGTTCAAAACAGGTCGTTTTTTGGGATTAAATGTTCAAATAGGATGGTTTTGAAAATTTGTCCGCATTTCAGTATTTCTGATTCTGCTGTTTACATCACTTCACTAGACCGATTTTGATCATTTTTCATTTTATTTTATTTTCTTTCTTTTTAGTCGTGCTGTTTGTAATTTTGTTTTTATATCTACTGGTAGTACAGAACTGTTTAACACTTATACGTTAAGTATGTTTGTTGTTATTTGTTTTTGGTACAGTTTATTTAAGTGTCAGATTTCCACTTGAACTGTGTGGTTTGCTATTTTGTTTTTGTTGTTACTAGTAGAAGTGTAAAATTCAAAATTGATTCTTTGCAATTTTTCCAGTGAGACTGTCAAATTTGGTCATGTCACCTTTTTTTGGAATGGAAATCGCTCTGGATATTTTGATGCAAGCATGGAAGAATATGTTGAAATTCCAAGTGATCATGGAATCACATTCAATGTCCAGCCCAAGATGAAGGCTGTGGAAATTGCTGAGAAGGCAAGAGATGCTATCCTTAGCAGGAAGTTTGACCAGGTAGGAGTGTGTATGGGCATTAGGAGAAGCTCTTTTCAGGGTCATTTCTAAATTTAAAAATTTCAGGTCCGTGTTAACCTTCCTAATTCAGATATGGTGGGACATACTGGTGATATAGAGGCTACTGTTGTGGCTTGTAAAGCTGCTGATGAAGCAGTAAAGGTAATATCTCTAGTCAGGCTTTACATTTCTTTCTATTTCATGAACATGTCCATCGTGGTTGGTAGCGCATAACTTCTCAAGTTTTATTCATCTTAAATGTTGCGGAAAGGAGGAGCGTATTTGAAAAAGCTGCTAACCCTGTATTTTCATATGTGCATGGTATAGACTTCCACTTATGCTCATCTTTACAGTTTACTGAAGCTTTCCTCCATTAGTACATGAATATTGCTCAATCTTAAGCTTAAGTTCACCATTTCAGAGTGACATTTAATTTGGTTAATAAAGCTATCTGATCAGAAGTTTGTAGTCCCTTGGCATCTTTTCCTGTCATCTACACTTCTTGCAGAATGGGTTTATGCTTTTTCTTCTGAGAAAAACTAGGTCTGACATGCTTCATTAAATGACTTACAAATTCTGTGGCTATTTGTTGCTGATGGTCATATTTGATCTTTTAATGCCTCAATTCCTAAGAAAAGAGAGATATGATAAATAATCAAGTAGTCGCAAACCTGAAATTTCACAAACTCCAAGTTACCCCTTTTTTTTAGCTAATGTAAATTGCTGTTGGTGTTTTCACTTGAAGGCATGGAGAAATATTAAGAAAGGCATGGAGAAATATTAAGAATTTCTGGAAGTTGGCATTCTAGTATTTGATAAAGTTTGCATGTTGTTCTATCCACACTTAGCCGTCATGTGGGTGTTGGACACTGTTCTGTGATATCTAGATTTTTCTATTGAGTGCTACTACAACGACCCCAAAATAGAGGACCCTGAGTGGGACAGGTGAGGTGTCGTCTCCCTGGCCCGTGATGCACTGTTCATGAACAGTGCATCACTGGACAGGGAGGCGACACCTCACCTGTCCCACTCAGGGTCCCCTATTTTGGGGTCCCTGAGGCTTTTTTCTTTTCTATTTGAGGTGGTCTTTCTCCTTGGGATTGATTTGAATCTGACTCTATTGCTGCTTTTTCATCCATATAGTTACCACCATTTGTTTCTTACCACCATTTGGTTGCTATTTTTCTGTCAATGTCCTTAGCACAGTTCCCTTTTGTTTGTCATCTTTAGTTTATACACCAATAGAACCCAACAAGGATCTTTTGCTTCTTCAACAATTCGGAATTTATAATACTTAGTCTGTATATCTCTCAGAACAAGTATATGTGCATGCAAAAATTGTAATAAAATGTCTCATTGTGATGGACGCTGTTTTTCAACCTTAATTCTAATTTGAAGGTGTTTCTAAATCTTTAGAATATTTGGTTATAACAGATGATCCTAGATGCTGTAGAACAAGTGGGTGGGATCTATGTCGTAACTGCTGATCATGGGAATGCTGAGGACATGGTGAAGAGAAACAAAACCGGCCAGCCACTGCTTGACAAAGCCGGGAACATTCAGATTCTTACTTCCCATACTCTTCAGCCAGTAAGTATATCAATATGGATATCACCAGCTAATATTATTTTTTATCGAACAGTTATTGCAGGCTTTTTTTAAGCATGTAGAACGGCATTTAGAAAAATGAATATAAGTTTCAAATTTTATACTACCAGGATACATGCATATGTTTGAATGTGTCATTTTCATGCCTTGTTTTCTATATTTTTTTTGTGAATCCACTATTTACGCATTCATTTCAGTCTCTGGGCTTAAATATTTGTTAAATGCATGAGAACTGTTGGCATGAGTCTGCGTATAAGTTTGCAATATATCTTATTCTCATTGGAAGTTAGTAAATTCCAGAGAAAATGCTGTTTAGTTTAGTTCACAATCTGGCTTTTCAGTAGGCCTCATGTTGTGTACGATTTTCATGGGAAGTTCTAAATTACTGTAGTTTACAAGTTATGCTGTTATCAACTTGTTAGTGATCCCACGCTTATAACCTAAGAAGCATGGAAATGGACAGAGACACAAGGCATTATAATTTCTTAGAGAGTAGGGCACTAGGATGCGGCTATATGTTGTTACTTGAATACAAATAAAGACTTTCAATTGTAGGTGTATCTTTTTTCTATAAATATATCTAAACTTATTATTGTTGTGTACAAGTCAATATTTGGTGCTTTTTTCTAGAGTGTTGATGGATAAATGAAATTAAATATATATCTCAAACATATGTGTAAATAAAGTTCATGACAAGTGTAAGATATGCATCCAAGAAATATCTGAGAAGTATCCTACATCAACACCATAGTGTTTTAATTGTGGACATGTCTGAGGAGTGTCCAAGAAAGTATCAGTTGTCAATGTGACACGGCATGACTCCTACTAAAAGTCTGTTCCAGCTAGTTTATATTTGGACAAGCTTAACCTTGTGCCACCTTTCCTAGAGGATATCTTTCCCACAGTTATTTTAACCCGCTGTAGTTTCTTGTTGGAAAGGTTTGAAGATGGATAATGAATGGTTCTAATAATAGTTATATAGTTTTGTTGAACGTAACATTTGGCTTGTTAGTGGCTTGTTTAGTTGTGTGTTAAGTCAAATCTTGAGTTCTTTTCCTCTGGCAAGAAGTCAACAAAAGAAGAAAATGACCTTGCTTCTTGTTTATTGACAAAGTAGCTGGCTAGGTTGGCCTCTGTAGATGGGATTAAGAATTGTATTAGAGCTTCCCGCATGCAAACAGGCAGTTCTCATCCATACACTGGGAAGGAAAAGTACCCATTCTGCCCCCTATTTTTTTCACATGTATGGATGAGAACTGCACACTCACATGAGGGCGGTTCAGACTTTATAGATGGTCGCTTAGTTGTGCTACAGATCTGTATTCTTTACAGGAAACAATCTACAGACCTGTATGCTTTATAGGAAACAATTTCATGTATATAAGTTAAAATTGCATGCTAGAATACCAGATGTAGACCAGGTTCTTCTTTATCTGTAATCCTCTTTTTTGCATTTTTTTTTGTATTTTTTTCTCAGTGATATCAGTCGCACTCAAATCCCTGAAATGATGTGATCTATTGATTAAGTTTTTTTGATGGATCCTCATGCTGATTACCAACATGGAGGAGTTCAAGCATTATTGTGTTGATTGGTTTTCTATTTTTCATTTATATATGATTGTAGTCTCTCTGTCTCTCATGTCAGGCACTAATGTGTCCTAGTGAGTGCGTAAACCTTTGTAATTCCTTGTAAGATAGTTTAAATCATTTAGAAAGAATTCAGATTAGAGATTGAGAGTTATAGTGTTGGCATTGTTTAGTGGCAGTAATTATATGATGGATTTCTAAGGCTTCACTGGTCTAATTGAGAAAGAAAGGTGACAAAAAAGAAAGGTGACAAAAAAATTGATCTGACTTAAAACCAATTTAAAAATTTTCTGGGTACATTTCGTGATGGCTTCTGTAAAAAATAGGAGGATGGCACATATTCAAGATTTGGGTATCTAAGCCGCTGGGCTTATGATTTGTTTGCATCTAAGTTTTATGGATATGAGTACGGGTGCAGGTACTATGCATGTATGGTTACAGGACAATGAATTTCTAAATATAGGGTACGTGGATACACAACTACACATCTATATATAATAATAATATAGATGATCAGTATTGTTTCTCATTTCACGTGCTATGAAATAAAATTCCTATTTACATTTATGTATTTATTTTCTTATATAGATCTTTAAGTTAGAAAATTGCTTATTTTTTAACTTGATATCCAAAAGACCCTTTATAATCATATTTCTGAGTTGGGTACGGCCTGAAATGAGCCCCATCTATGTCCAGTGAGTTTCAAGAATTGCACGTGTAGTGTAGGAAAAAAGTACATATTAGAGTAAGTGTATTCAAATGTCCAAGGAGTGTGCGCTGAAGTTTCGGGTATGGGGTACGACACTAGTATGGCTCCATATAGAAGTACCCACATGTTTGAGCGTTTAATCTATATGAAGGATCATTAATAGATGTAAACAAGTGAATAATAGTTGAAATTTGAAATATGGACAGGGAAAACTAACGTTTTCATATGCTTGGAGAAAATAATTTAGAGGGATGTAAATGGTTGTTAGTGAGAGGGTGCTGGCAAACTTTCATAGCAAGGACAAGTATGCTTCTTGAAAATCTGTCTCTGAGCTAGGATGGTAGGAAACTGTATCCCCGTGTTGGCGCTAATTGTGTTCCACGTGTGAAAGTGGTGTTTATTCCCCTTGTAAGTCTTGATACTTGAAATTGAAATGTGAGAAAGGTTGCTGATTTGATCTTGTAAAATTGGCCCCTATATTTTTGAAATTCTTCTCTAAAATCCCTCAATAGTTTTCTAGTTTTCCTTTTTCTGTTTTCTTTGCCTCGTGGAGTGGGAGTTCTTCTACGAGTGGGTTTTTCCTTTCATTCTTTCTTTGTTTGATTGCGGGGTGTGGTCAGGTGGTGTGAGATTTGTACAATTTTCTTATCCACTCTAGGTTCTTATGCAGTCTTTTAAATTTCTCATCGTGTCTAATTATTTTCAGGTCCCAATTGCTATTGGAGGCCCAGGGCTTGCACCAGGAGTCAGATTCCGCAATGATGTACCCGGCGGTGGTCTTGCCAATGTTGCTGCCACAGTTATGAATCTCCACGGTTTTGAGGCACCTAGTGATTACGAGACAACCCTCATTGAAGTTGTTGGTAACTGATTAAAAGGCTTGCTACAGTATAAAAGCAAGCAACTGTTATATCTTTTCGTAAGCAACTGTTATATCCTTTCGTAAGCAACTGTTATGTCTTTTCGGATTAAGGTCGGGATGGTTATAAATACCATTGGCTTAAATTCTCTGAGTGATGTCTGAATAATGATTCACTGGTAAGAAATCTCTCTTAAAATTTTAGGAGGGAATGAGAATTTTGGGAGATGTATTTTGTGATATTGTAAAATGCAAGGTCACACCCTGAACTACAACAAAGATTTATAAATATTGGTTTCGTGGTAGCAACGATCTATACAGAAGGCAAGTTCCGTTCACAAGTCAAACCTGACACTTCATATAACATAGCTATCTCAAAATATACATATACCAGCTTATGATAATAATTTGAAACAAATTGTATATATATAATCGTTATTTACATTCCATAGCCTTATTGTTATAGTTATTTCACAACACAAAACACTCTTTTGCAGAACATATCATCACAACTCCAGTGGTTTTATTATAAGCATTTGTTTATGATGCCCACAACCAAAATTCGGATTATTACATCGTTATCTCGGATCTGGAAAAAAAAAAAATTGGGGCAAGCTAAAGCTTAGTGAGAATATTTCCCACTAGAATTTCTAGATATCTAACAAATTAAAAATCATTTTTTTTACAAATAATGAATTATAAGTTTGTCGTAGGATATTAAAAAAATTGCAAGACATGATCCACAATATTGCACTGTTGTTATATTCAAGAAAGAAAGTGCAAGCTGATTATATCGTACGTATTCCAGAATCAAAATCTCTTTTAAAAACAAGTAGCTATTAAGGAAGAAAATAAATTATTAAACTTGGCAAAACCAAAATATTATTATTCTCTCAGAATCTCAAACCTCAATGGAACCTACATAAAATGCAAGAATCACCTCATAGGTTACACTAAGAGTAGTAATTATAGCCAGTAGCATGCATGGGAATGCCAAAAGCATCACATAACACAGTTTCCGGGAACATAATGCACTTAACTCTGCCATATGCTACCAACCACATCACAAACGCCCAAAAAGGGCCACATCACAAATGCCAAAAATGCCACATCACAAATACCCATAACGGGCCACATAAAGGTGCATTATAACCATATGCCAAGCACAAGCATATCAATCCGTAGTGGACTTTCTAAAGATTTTGAAAACATCAAGAACGCTTGTCAAATGACTTGACTTTGGAACCCCATCTCTTGTTACGTTACTTGATTTCAACGACATCACTTGTCAAACTGCTAAATTTCACAAACTCATTAGTTGACACATTACTTGGTCTCGGAAACTGTTGAAATACGTTCCACAGTTTTTTAGGAAAGTAGTTTATATATTTAAGATTCTAGTATTATACCAGAGCTTTTCCTATTTTATTGTTTCCTTTTTTAAGAGGAAGACTTTCTTCTTTATTAAGTTCTCGTTTCTTTCCTTGTTTACAACTAGGGCATCTGTGTATATATATGGGTACTTTGTAATTCTAGAAATCAATGAGAATGAATACAGAAATTCATACGTTTCCTCAAAGAATTCTACATGGTATCAGAGCTTGAAATTCTCTGAAGGTCTATATAGCATTCTCATGACAAAATACGGTTGGCTTCAAGCCAATCTTCTGACATTACCTCCAAAACAGAAGGCACACCTCTGACAGCGAGCAATCTTGGAGGATCTGACGGATTATCTTTAACCATCACCAGTCATAAACTCAATGGAGGCAACTACCTAGATTGGTCCCAATCCGTGATGATGTATATCTGCGACAAAGGAAAGAATGAATATCTCACAGGGGAGATCGAAATTCCTGAAAAAACTGATCCCCGATTCAAGGCCGGGAAGGCAGAAAATCATATGGTCAAGTCCTGACTTATAAACTCGATGAACAGCGAAATAGGGGAGAATTTCCTTCTTTACCAGACGACTAAGGACATATGGGATGCAACGAAGGTGCCATATTCAAGTTCTGAAAAATACCTCAGAACTATTTGAAATTGAGGGCAAACTCCATGATCTCAGGCAAGGCGATCTCTTGGTCTCTCAGTATTATAACGTTCTCACACGGTATTGGCAGCAGCTAGATATGATTGAAAGACATAATTGGAAGTATCCTGAAGATGCACTCCAGTACAAGAAGATTGTGGACCAGAAACGTACGTTTAAATTTCTGCTTGGACTCAATAAAAATCTTGATGAGGTTCGTGGAAGAGTAATGGGAATGAAGCCTCTTCCATCGAACTACGAAGCCTTCTCGGAAGTTCGGCATGAGGAAAGTAGAAAAAAGCTAATGATGTGATCTAATTCAAATGACAATATAAGCACTGAAGGTTCTGCCCTTGCAATTCGAGGATTTAGTGATAATCAAATCACTCGAGAGACTGGGGATGGAACTGCCTTTGCTATGCGTGGAGTACCTCCAAACAGTAATAACAATCCCAATAGTCGACAGAGACATGGAGGACGTCCATGGTGTGATCAATGCAGAAAACTGGGGCATCTAAGGGAAACATGTTGGAAAATTCATGGCAAACCGTCTGATTGGAAGGCACCCCGTTCCAGCAACGAGAAAGAAGGACGGGCTAATGCAACAACTTCAGATGACCACCACAACACTACAGAATCCAACCAGTTTACTAAAGAACAGCTCAAAGTCCTCTAAGAGCTCTTCTCAAAAGCTGGTTCTACCTCAAGAACGAGTATGCTAGCTCAGAAAGGTAAACACTTAAACGCCCTTACAGTAAATAGAGGACAAACAAGGGTATTATTAGACCCTAGAGGGGGGGGGGGGGGGGGGGGTTAACAAGTTGTCCAAGCAAGTGTGAAATACAACAAGATACATGAGCTAGGATAGGCAATATGAACTAATGAATATATCCTAGCAATGAGATGTTACAAATATATGAGCAAGAATATATAAACAACACAAGGGTAAATAATGTAAACAAAAAAGTGGACAAACTAACTAATGAGACAATAACGATATGAGCAATGAGCACAAATATAAATGAACGCCAAAGCACACACAAACACAATCAAATGATCACGGAGTTCGGACCTTCCGTCCTACGTCTCCGCTCCCCACTCCCGGGGAGAAATCCACTATCACAAACGAGTTTTCTACGTTTACCCGAACAACGTTTACACCACACAATACGGTTTTCTAGTTTACTGAAAACTCTACAACTAACACACTCTTGTAATTCCACTCTACACCCTCTCAAGTGTTGAACTAGACGTGTCCACTCTACACCCTCTCAAGTGTTGAACTAGACGTGTCTCCCTCAAGTGCTCGGATAAAACCTCTCCCTAGGTTCGTCAACCGACGCCACTCCTCTTGGGACGATCCCCGACTCTCGCCACACACTTCTCTTGGTGTACAAGTGTATTACAAAGTGAATATCATAATAAGCACAATTATAATAAATGATTGTTCTCTAATATGGATGAGAACACAATGAAAGCTCACATTCAATTGTTACAACTCTCACCAACCCAAATGTACAATGTATGCAAATATAATAAGCTCAAGTGGGTGTGTGTAAACAATGAGTGAAATCAAATCAACTAAACTCAATTGAAAATACTAGCTTAATGAAAATGATAAACAATAAAGAATTAATACAAAGCTAGTATTGAGTTTAGAAATTCTTCTCTAAAAAACAAGATGGAGAGATGGATTAAAATGAAGCCCAAGGAATGTAGATGATCTCCTCCACTTGTGTAAAACTTCTTCACAAACAAAATTCTTTTAAACAAACACTAAACAAACTTAAACCCTTGTTAAACTCTTATTTAAAAACTTCTTGGATTGCCATGAGAATTGAGATCAATGGGGTATTTATAGCCTCCCAAAACCTCAACCAAAACCCAACAGAAATGACCAAAAAACCAACAGAATCGGAAATCAGATTCGGTACAAAATGACCGTTGGAGTGAACGGCGGTCGACCGTGAAAATCTCGCGGTCGACCTGAACGGCGGTCGACCGTGAAAATCTCGCGGTCGACCGCGAGCCACTTTCGAGGCTCAGAAAATTCCAGAAACTTTGACAGTCGACCGTGGTGGTCGACCGTGGGAATTTTCGAGCTGACGGTCGACTGTGGCGGTCGACCACAAAAGTTGTTGTTGGCTCCGCAGGTTAAAAACAAAGGCGCGGCCGACCGTGGCGGTCGATCGTAAACTGACATATGAGAAAATATGTTTGAAAGTTGATTTTCTGATTTTAAAACCCTGTTTAAAAATATCAAATAAATTCTAAAAAATATAAAACTTTGGAGAATAATTGTAGACATGATAATAAACATGCTACAAAGACCGGTTTTAAAAAAGGATCTCCCAAATGAAAAATATCATCATTTTACAAAATAGTCCAAAACATAAAAATGTGAACATATGAGTTTTGACATTTTAGCTTAACCATGTTTTGAAACAATACAAAATAATTTTTATAGACTTGAATAAAGATGTAAACTATTGTTATGAAGTCTATAAACAATGAATATAGTATTTTATCAAAATACACATATAATGCACTAAAACATGATTTCATTGAACTGAATAAAATTAATATTGATGAAATCATATATATGCATGTAAGTATGAAACAAAAATATGTTTTCTAATTATATTTAATTGTTTCATAGTAAAACTTAAAAACTATCAAACCAAAACATATATGTATATATATAACTATATATATACATGGAAACCAATAAATGTGTGTGTGTGTATATTATATTGAGCTTAAGGTACTAACACACATAATATAAACTCCTAAACTAAATTACCCAAGCTTGATCTTGATCTTCAATAGCTTGACTTGGTAATCTTACGGATGAAGCTTGATCTTGGATCTTCAACTTGAATTGTACATAGCTTCACCTACTATTCCGCCAACCTCCATTGGATATGATCGTGAATGCGCAATTTCATCCATCCTCCAACATATTGTTTGCCTAGAATAAATATAAAATACAAACACTAGACAAATAATATTAGATGTAAATTGTTTGTAAATCATCATCAAAACAAGAAGGCCAACAGGTATGGATTATTGACTCTGGAGCATCAAATCATATGTCAGGAGACGCTAACATTTTTTCTGAGTATAGGTCATGTGATAAAAACTTAACTATTCATATAGCAGATGGATCTTTGTCTAAGGTGGCAAGAAGTGGCTCAGTTTGGGTTACGAAGGACCTCTTGTTAAAATCTGTGCTTCATGTCCCTAATTTAGATTGCAATTTATTGTCAATAA